TGCCTCAACTACAGGAATGGTTCACAAATGAAGAATCATTTGTTTTTATGCAAGATGGGGCTCCATGTAATACTGCTCGAACAGTTCGATCATTTTTGTTGGAGAAAAATGTTCTTGTGTTACCATGGCCACGAAATTCACCACATATGAACCCAATAGAAAATGTTTGGGAGCTCATGAAGAGGGAAATTGCAAAGGAAGAAATAACAACAAAAATTCGCCTCCTTGAGAAAATAATTCAAGTCTGGTACCATCATCCAAAGTTGCAAGAAACAATCCAGGCATGCATTAATAGCATGCCAAAAAGAATTAAAGCTCTAATAGCCGCCAAAGGTGGCCTGACAAAGTATTAAAGATGTACATGTACATGGAGATTTTTTATGAAAATTAGTTTATATATTATACTGACAGTCATAATTTTGCATATGATATCCTGTTTGTATTGTAAGTATTCAATTATTACTCATCTATTTGGTTAGAAATAAAAAAAAAATACATTTTTTGTTACAAAAACGTGATTTTTATTGAAAATTTAGGGTGCGTCTAATAATATGGCCGGGGACTGTAGGTTCTTCTATAGTACATTCTATTTCTTGCATTTAGATTTATTTAGTCAAAAAATAGTAAACAAAACCGTATATGATGTATGGGGGAGATCATTATTGCGGACAGTTTCATAAAATTATCATATTGCAATTTCACTTCACCCATCACTCAAGTTAAAAAAAGTCAATCAAATATGCAATTATAACCTGCAGTGTATCAATGCAATAATTTCGATTGGTAGGAATAGTAGCCCCTTTTTTCTATTAGAAAACATGAATATAAGCTACCCTTATACTTAGGGGTGGATTTTATGACCTAAAATGTCGCCAAAAATGATCAATAAAATGCTCTTAAATGTTTTTAAAATGCCCTAAAAAAACAAAAAATGAAAAAATGTGATCAAAACCAGTTTGGATGAACAACTCAAGTTTTAACTCAACTTTAAATACATTACAGATGTAATTGAGGGTTTTTCCATTCGTTCAAGTAAACTCAGCTTGCAAATTTTTGGTTTGGACTGTTCTTTACCAGGCAATCCCTATCTTTAGTTTTCTCGAAATCAGCTGAACCGACAAAGGCACTGATAGGATCACAGGAACCTTAGATTACATTTAAAGGTTGCCATTACAATTTATGAGTGAAGAAATGGAATAGGCTAACTCAGGAATTACCAATTAAATTAAGTACCATTAAAATAATATTAAAATCGATGAAACCAGCTAAAAATGCAATATGGAAAAAGGTTAAAATGACTTAATTGTCGAAATCGGAAAAGAAAGAGAGAGGGAGAGAGAGAGAGAGAGAAAAAAAATTGACATATAAAAATGGGTAATTTGCATTTGTTATAACATAAAATATTATACTAAACGACATTGTTTTAAAGTTAAAAAGAAAATATTGACATTTCATTAAAATCCGCCCACTACTTATATTATCTGCAGCACATCACAAAGAAAAGCAAGGATGTCATTTCGAGAAGTTTGTAATATTTAAAATTTTTTGAAAAAAGTTTGTATCACTTAAGTTAATCGTTTGTTAATGCAGTTTGCAAAATTTTGCAGCTTAAAAACAAAAAAATGCTCTATTTTTCATGTATATATTAAATTATTTGTTTTTTTTAAATAGCATTTTTTTACCATTTTATTTTTATTTTTCAAATTTCTTCCTTAAGCCAACAGTTTCAAAAATTGAAAATAACTTTGTGTCTAGTGTTATACCTAACACTGATACCTTTCAAAACGGGACGCTAGTAGAATTTTAAGAAATTGGTGGAACACCATCCACAGCCTCATTAAAATTTTTGTATTTTCATTAATTTTATGGTACAAACAAAAGTTCAGATGGAACTATTTGGTACTAACCAAGTACAATTGTTTTAGTATGATTTCACATTTGTTTACGGTTGCTGTGATGAGAATGGTGATAGAGTTTGGGAGCGCCTATCGCAGTCTCATTAAAATAGCTGCACCTTAATTAATTGTATGGTAGAAACCAAAATTCAAGCGGAACTATCTGGTACAAACGATTTACAGTGTTTCCAATTTTTTTACGGCGGCGCGTTGCCAGTGTGAAGTTGGCACCATCACAATTGAAAGTGCTGTATCTTGAAAATGGGTTTGGTGCAAACGAATGGTAATGGTTTCAGAGGCTTCTGCTGTGGGCGGCGGCGGCGGCGGCGGCGCGTGCGCGCGTGGTCCCCTAAGATGAACGGAAGGCCTTGGATCTCGATCCGGCAGCCTGCGGGAGTTAGTGAACGGTCAACCGTGGTTGTGATCTTTGCCGATGGGCGTTGCAGCCTTTAGCAATACTCATGCAATTAGTGTTATTTTGATATGAATAGTAATAGTGATACAAACCTTTTTCAATAATTGTTTTCCTTCACTTTCATATGAATAAAAAAACAGTAATTGATAATGGGCCACGAACATAATATTATTTCAAAATTAAAATTTTTAAAACGACAAACAAAGAATGGGAAAAACGTCAAGCATGTATTTTTAAATATTTTAAAATGTATTATTCCAATCATGCGTTAGAAACTACAACACCCTCAATGTTGTTATTTTGTTATCTTTCCCTCATTCTTAAGAATTAAAATCGCTTCACGGGATTGGTCAATGTGGTAGAAATTTATATAATTCAATTACTCCAAATGTGAATGCGAAATGACATGTGTGAGTGCAATTCTGATTTGGGTTCACCCACCTTCAAGGCCCCCAGCCGGAGTCGCGCGATCTCCTGCTCGGCCTCCGCTGCCTTCTGGCTGAGAAGAAGGGCCTCTTCCTCAGCAACTCGAGACTTCTCGGCCAGCAAGTCTGCCGTCTCCTCGGAGCGGCGCTGAAACACAACGGCTTTATAGGGAGAAACTTCTTTTCTTGACTGATGCGATACCTTGCATTAAGAACTGAAAATGGGTACTGCACTGACAAGGGACCTTTCAGGTAGAAATCTGACCAGATATTTTTGTACAGAAAGGTATTCACTATTTATAAGCACTGGGATAAAATTGGATGCCGTCAGGACCTGGAAGTTACCGAAAAAAAAATAATAATTTGGTCAGTTTTGAGCATTGCTGTCATCAAGACAAATATGTCAAAGCAAAGTTCAAAACAGAATTTAATATTGAGGTTAAGACGGGAAATGACATTTGTGAACCATGTATGTTTGGAAAGGCACATTGTGTACCTTTTAGTACAACGGAAAAATCGACGATGCCTGCTGAGCTGATTTCGATGGATATGTGCGGACCTGTTGATGAATCATTTAAGAAGAAGCCTTAACTTGTTTTGTTCAAAGACAGTTACATGAAATTTCACTATGGTTATTTTGTTGCAAGAAACCAGAAGTTAGTGAAGTTCTTCAAGACTTTCTCATGCATTCGAAAACATTTGGTTATGCGGTCAAGGAGATGCTGAGTGACAATGACAAGAAGTTTGATAATGAGGGGGTCAGATCTATTCTACGTTCAAATGGGATCACACAGCGACTGACAGCTCCCTATACCCCTTAGTAAAATGTCATTTGTAGGTGGGATAATAGAACTGTTATTGAGATGACTAGGGCTCTGAAGTATTCGAATTCCAGACATAACTTACGCAGAAGCAATTTGAGTTGAGTTCGTTAAAATGGCCATCTACATTTTAAATAGAACAGGGAAATCATCTGTGGAAGATAGTCCTTACGAGTTGTGGATCGAACGATACATCTCAGGATCATTGGCTCAACATATTATGCTCATATTCCAAACCATGTACGAAGAAAAATGGATAGAAAAACTATGAAGGGGCTTCTGATCGGACATGATGGTGAAAGAGCGATTCAGGGTCTGGATGAAAGAAAGTCAGAATGTTGTTCTGTCCAGAGATGTGCTATTTGAAGAAAAACCAGGATGCTGTATTGAACCGGTGAAACTACCGTTTCGAGATGCTGAAATAAGAAAAGATGATCTGTAAACATGATGTTGAAAAAGAAGAGTCAGACAGCGATTGAGATTCTCAAAATGGAGATTGTGAAACCAGCACAGATGTAGAGCTTCATGATGATTTTCAGAAGCTACATGAAGAGAAACAAGGGGCTAACTTGATAAATCATTTAAGTTTAAAGAGGCCACAGTATCTCAATGAATATGTAATGACGTCAGAGGACTTAACCAATGTACTTGAAACTTACGAAGATGCATTTAAACATGATGATAGTGTTGAATGGAAAAAAGCAATGGGCAAAGAGATGGATTCATTGATGGAAAATGGGATTTCCAGCTGAACATAAACGCAGATGGAAGTGTAGACAAGTATAAGGCTTGACTTGTCAAAGATTGTAACCAGTGTGAAGGTGTTGACTACACACAAACATTTAGACCAGTTGCAAAGATGATGACTACTGGATCTACGTATTTTGAGTATTGTTGCAAGTAAAGGCATGCATCTTGCACAATTTGATGTATCAACAGCCTTCCTATACGGAGAACTCAGACTATATGGCACCAAGACGATATGACAGAATCTATAAATTAAAAAGGAGTTTATACATCTTGAAACAAGCACTTTGAAAACTTTTTGTTAGGTCTTGGTTTTAAAGTGAGTCAAGCACATCCATGTCTTTATATTAAAAATGAAGAAGGCAGAGGGCTAATGGTAGTTCTATATATGGATGATGGATTAGTGGTAGCTACTGACGAGGATAACTTGTACATATTTTTTGGAGCAAGCTTGCAAATCACATCCTTTCACAACCTCGGCAGTGTTCTGCCCAACACCCATCCCCACCCACATCTCCTAGTTCTCTTCTATCCTCTGGGACCTCTTTGGACCCAATTACCATATCCCTTGAACCAAATCCTTGTACTACCTCTCCCATTATTAATTTATGAACATTTGTCGCCCTCCATCTCCTGTCACTGCTGGGGCTTGATATTTCCTTCGACCATGGGCTCGAGGTAAAAAAAGAGATAAATAAATAGAAAATACAGTTAAATGCAGCAGAGAAAGATCCATAAAGGTACATGCAAAAAATTCAAATAATGCATCACAATGTGCAATCCCATTCAAATAAAATTGAATGCAGCATCTACACGTATGATCTAGGTCAAATAGATGTTTTTTTGTTTAACCGAACATTGGTTGTCTCATTACTGATCTAAATACACTCCAAATTCCTAGTTTTACCTTTGCAGAATTGTATTGTAAGGGAGGGAATCAAATAAGGGCCCTGTTTAAGGAGGTTCGTGTATTTACGTCAGAAATGATATTGATTCTATTTTTTGTCAAACTCAATTATATGCAGTTGAAAAAGTTTTGAAATAACATCTTACTAGCTCAAAACTATCTTACTTTGCATTACAGATCTCCAACAAAGCGAGTTATATATAATTTTATTAGAAAATCTAGAGATAACTGAACAAAATTAGTAATCTATCTTTTAAATCCATTGTTATATGTGGAGATTTCTATATTGATTTTCTGAGCGAACCCCACGAAAAAGAGCAGTTTCTCAATTTACTGCATTCCTTTAATTTAGATATTACAGTGAATGTACTACACAGAATACATTTACATAACAAAAAGCAATAGATCAAATTATAATTAACAAAACCACAACTAAATATGAAATACTAATCTAAGTTACAGTGACCACAATGCATAAATTTTTACAATTACTAATAACATGAACACTGACACAAATTATACACGCATTCACTAAAGTTAACATAAAATTATTCACAGACTACTTGCTGAAGGAATTATGGGACACAGGTTTTTTAATGCTGTTGACACAAATGAAAAATATGATCTATTTTTCGCAAAACTTTCATTTCACTTTAACGCACACTTTCCTCTCAAAAAGAAAAAAATTACATATTTCATGAAAAATAATACTTGGGTCACACAAGGAATTTTAATATTGTGTAAAAACAAACGTACGCTTTACTTTATTTCTAAACATCATAACATATCTTGAATGAAATTTGAATAATGAAAAAATGCCATCTGAGTGATCCCTACAAGCCTGTCTTCATTGAGCTTGAAATCTTAGCACTGCCTTCCGTATTAATTTACAAATCTGTAATATTTGTCAAAAGTTACTTAATGGTGGGAACATATTTTTATGCAATACTGATATTTATAATTACAACACACAACGTAGAAATCAGTGTCAGTATCAACAGCTATCAGAAATCCACATACAATACATGTATGTTACTTTACAACGCATTGCCAGATGACATCAAACAATTGAAGCCATGTGGTTTGTTGTACCACAGGGCCAGAGTCGAGACTATAGTTTGTGTTTTGCGCAGCATGTTGTAGTTTGTCAACATGTTGTTCAGGTGTAAAGTGACCACCCAAATTGATGTAATTTTGCCCTCCCTATGATGATGACTGTATCCCTCCCGTTCGGTGAGAGTTTTTGTGTGGGTGCCTGTTGTCCCACCACTCACTCTCAGGGACAAAGGGTGTTTTCCACGTTTTCACCAATTCACTCAAAAATCACTGTGTGTTTGGGAAGGGGTGGGGGGCAATGCATTTTACTTATATTCTCTGTGAACGTGGGAGACATCTGAGAGTGCTAGCCCACTCGTAGCAGGTCCCCACGAGTACTGACAACTGAGCAGCAAGTGACGTAGAATTCACAAACTGATTTGACTGCTGTCAATAGCCAACAGTAGGTTTTGACACATTTGTACTTGGTGATCCTCCAAACATAGTAAACATATCAATATTTGAGTTTTTCTGAGTGAAAATTAGAATTTTTTTTTTTTTTGAAAAGTTTTCCCCCTGCTTGATACTTCTTCAAAAAATCTGAAAATAGGTCACAATATTGAAAACTAGTAAATGTTCTACTAATAATTTTTTCACACTTACGATTACAAATTTATTTTCAAAGAATTATTTTCTTTTAAAATTTCTGATATGAATTATGTAGGAATTCTTTCTTTTAAAGGGCATTCACTTTTATTTCAAAAAAATTCTAACCATTAATACACCTAAAAAAATGAAAATGCAGCAAACAGTGCAGCATAGGTGTTTCCTGTTCAGTCAATTACATTGGAAGGCGTTTGGAGTAGGAAACAATTTCAATTTTCTTTTAGAGCCAGGATCACTATTCAAAATGTCTTTCTTTATTCCATTCAGGGACAATTTACACTATCATACTCAGCAAGACCTCTTCATTAGAGATGACACTTACAGTTGGTAAGATTCACACATGCGGATTTTAAGTGAGCTTCAGAGTTTGAAGGTCTCTACAGGTAAACATATCAAGTATGATTTTATTACTTTCCTCATTGGAAATGATATTGTTTTTTTATCAATACTTAAAGAGAGGTTGATGAAAAGTCTCTCCACATTTTAAGACATTAATTTAACACACTGAGGTCACTGCCCGTAGAATCTACAGGCACCAACAGCACGCCTTAAATTACGTTGCCTGTAGAATCTACAGACAGTAAATTTGTTTTATAGGCCATTTTCCAGTCCACTGACCATTCATGGAGGTTCCTACATCAAAAAAATACCTAAATACAAACTAGATTTTGGTTGCTGCCATTTAATAGATAATAAATACCTTTGGAATACACTCATGAGCAAGCCCTAAACACCTCTGGAGCACTTTTCACAATTCCCACACCAAAACCAATTATTGTGAATGAAGCGTAAAATTTTCTTCGTTATTGCAATAGACACTAATGTAATGTCATGTATAATGTTCTAATATTAACTAAATTTGTAAGAATTTAATTAAAATAATCATGTTAAACTCTTTGTTTGAACTCAATGTTTTGTATTATTTATATTAAAAAATCTTCCAAGTTATTGTCAACATAAACATTGAAACTTTACATAAAATAACAAAATTGTTGCTTCAAAATTTAAAAAAAAACATATTTTATGTTTATTGATTTAGAAGATAAGACCCTTCAAACATACCCCAAAACCTTACGACCTGATGTGGAAAAACGTTGGGCAGGGACTTCGACCTGAATGTGTTAATAGTGTGTTTCCCTAAAGAACTGCATTACAAAAATAGAAATTGTATTGGTAACATTAAAAAGAACGAGTTGTAAATTACTAATAAATTTGATATCTTAATCTTCCTGATACACTGTTAACTAGGAGTAATTAATCAACAGGACTTTTTAAATACTATTTTTGATATGATAGGATGTGATAATCTTTTATTATTACTTTTTGTTTCTTTTAAAAGGAGTGTTTTGACCATTCAAAATTAAGTTATACGAATAAGACAAACAAAAAGACAAGAGAATTTTGGAGATTTTATTTCGAAGTGTGCCCCAATGAGAGTTTGAAATTCCCATAGGATGCGTATAATTTAGTGTTTTATTTTATTAACCTGAATACTGATTATTGTGTGTCAATGCCAAGAAACTGGTTTATGCACACTTTTCTGTATAGTTTTGATGCATGAAAGGAAAGATTACCACTTGAATGACAAAGCTTATTGAATAGTTAATGAAATGAGATTTGATACCCAAAAGAGAAAAATCAATGAGCACATTTCCTCTTTGTACACCATGAATTACACCAATAATTATTTCACATGCAAATAACACCTCAATATGGCTTTGATTCACACAAATTGTATCTCAATAAATCAATCTATGAATATTTAATATGCTCACATACATCTTATCAATCTCAGAAGTAAAACATAAGAACAATTAAAATCTTACCAGAGCTTCATTTGCAAGCCTCACTTCTTCTTGATAGTGAGCTAATCGTTGTTCTAAAGCTGCCTTTTCTCTTTCAGCAGCTTCCCGCAGTTGTTTCTCCCTAGCCAATTTATTTCGCTCAATTTGGCGCCTAAGAAAATATATCACAAATTTTTATTTTTATCAATATAACATAGAAAATAAGGAAAAATGGTACCTTTGATTTTTCTTATTTTTATTTTTTTTAAAAATATTTATTTATTTGCACCTAGCGAAGTTCATTGTCTTCACATTAGAGAGATGCAGTAAATTGCAATTTAATAACATACTGTACACAATATTTATAACAGTTGGTGTTCCCATTAACTACATTTTCCTTAGCAATGTGTTTTTTGTTACACAATAGAATTTGTCATGCTGATATTATTATTATTATTATTATTATTATTATTATTATTATTATTATTATTATTATTATTGATATTGTCATTTTGTTATTGTTATTATTAATATTAATATTAATAAGAAATTTAGGGAAAAGTAACTCAATGGAACAAATAGTAGAAAGATTTGCTATCACCTTTCAACAATGAATAGAAGACATTGTACATGAATGTAACCTAGCAGTCCTGCCAAAAATCGTAATAACTCAAAGTAACTCTTTTTACTTGCCTGAAATCACATTAGAAGAAATTAGTTCTTTAATTAAAGTGATGGACTGTAATAAAGCTCCACGAACTGACAAAATAGCTATAAGAGATATAAAACTGAACAGCAACTCAATAACACCAATTATAATGAAAATTATCAACTCAAGTATTAATGAGGAAACTTTTCCAGATGAATTAAAAGTATCTATTATCAGACCAATACATAAAGGAGACAGTCTTTCAATCTATGAAAACTATAGACCAATTTCCACATTAAACACAATAAATAAAATATTCGAAAAATACATATTGCAAAGACTGACCAACTACCTGGAAAAATATAAAATAATAGGATAACAATCAATTTGCATATTCAAAAAACAAAAGCACCACAGACTTATTGGAAAATCTAGGAGAAGTATTAAATGAAAATTACACAAGGGGATTGCATGTGATATGCATTGAGCATTGACTTGTCAAAAGCTTATGATGTAATAAGCTATGAAAAGATGTTAGATGCACTGGAAAGCATAGGGTTGGAGCAAAGTTTTACAGTTAATTTAAAAACTGTCTGAAGGAAGATCATTTAGGGTCAAAATACGATTAACACTTATAGTGAAATAAAACTGTGAAAGGGGAATTCCACAAGGAAGTTTCCTAGGCCCTATACTTTATCTAATATTTGTGAATGACTTAAAAAATTATTTAGAAAATGGTTCCATTATATTTTTGCGGATGACAAGATGCTATATCTATAAACAGAGACCGCAAAGAAGGCAGAAATGGAGTTACAGGAAAATTTTGGAATATTTCAAAAAATGGTGCCATGATAAAGGTTTAATAAATAATAGAAAAAAGACTAGAATATTGCATACTACAGCTCCAAAAATTGCAAGAGCACAAGTTAAAATATTCTTTCACAAGCTGACTGCATACACAAGACTTTAAGAACTGTCAATGGAATAATATAATAAATTCTGTAAGCAAACTGAATATTTAGGTGTAACTTTTGATCAAAATCTGAGCTGGAGGATCACATCTTGGAATTAAGCAAGAAAATACGAACATGTGTTTGGAACCAATGAGAATTAAAGATTTTGTATCTTATAAAATTTTCAAATTGGTCTACTTTTCATTAATAGAGTCCTGATCAGGTATGGAATTGGAGGTATGGGGGACTGCAGCAAAATCGCATGTTGATATTATACAGAATATACAAAAATAAATGTATTAAATCCTTAATGAAAAAAGGCGCAGAACAAACCTAACCTGAAGTGAGTGCAGCAATGCATGGAATCATGAGACTGTTAAAAAACTGTATGAATTTCAAATTCTTATAAAAAAAACTTTTTCAAAAAAAAATTCAGAAAAATCAGTGGCACAGCTACGAAACTAGTAAAAAAACACAATTTCATACTTCCGAGCACTTTTTATGAATTTGGAGAGAGGATGCTTAACACAGCCATTCCAAAACTGCCTGAATTCAATGCCAGATGAAATATTAGAAGTTACATCTTATAGGGAATTGAAAAAAAATTAAAAAATGGTACAAAAAGACTAGGCAGAACATGAAAATAATAGATCAGGAGTTATCTCTTTAGCTTGTGGCATATTGCCATTTGTTTTATTGACATTTATTTGTTATTTAAAAAAAAATATATGTATTTGGAGGGGGGGGATTCTTTTATATTTTTGACATGTCATCACAAGTTTGTAAATGTAATTAAGTAAAACATAACTCTTATTGCCCAGTTATAAACTGCTATTACTGACATTACAAGATTTTATTTGTTAATTAATGTGTGTCCTATTATTGTTGATTTTGATTTGTCACTATTAACATCTTCAACATGCTAAATTAAGTTACATCTTAATACTCATTTTGCCTGTGGCCCAACTGCCATCCAGTTATTATTTTATTTACAATCCATTTGTTACTTTTAGCAGAATTAGTTGGATCATTGTTTTCTTTTTGCCTGTGAGTTTTTGTCATACTATTGTAATCTATATATATATATATATATATATATATATATATATATATTATATATATAATAGTATATATATATATATATATATACATAGTTAATATTATAATCTTCATATTATAAAACAGTGTTTATCACAAAGGATTAAGAATTTGTAAAAAAATTGTATAATATTCCTTGTAACTCTCATTCAGTTTCGTTTAACTGTTTCACGGTTTGGACTAATTTTTTGTGTTTGAGACCAATTATTTAATTTCCAATTTTTATAATTGAGCAATTTAACTCAAGTTAATGCAGCGCCATTTGCCCACAAGTTCTATTTGTTTCTTTGATTTTTAACTTAGATATAATTTTATTTCTCTTTGCTTGTTGAATTTGTCACACAAATTTCCAAAAGGTATTAAGTATAACTTAGTTTTCATATTAGCCAGTTACCAACTGACATATCTTTTTATTTATTTACAAATTTATTTTGTGATTTTAGATATTTGATTGATTTTGATTTCTTTCTGCCTTGCTGAGTTTCCTCGGAAAAAATCTAAATTCCAATTAAAAACAATCACGTATCATTAACAGTAAGACTGGTAAACAGGTACTGCATGAAGGTTGAAGTATAACAACAACCGGTTAATACAGAAAAAGAAAAAACAACAAACAAAACAAGTGGTTACAATGTTAACACACACATTACAATGTATGACAAGTACATAAAGTTACTTGTCATAAGAGACGGGTTGAAGTGTAGTTGAAGTGATAAGATAAATAAATGAAAAATATTATTTAAATTTAAAATTTAAAACTGATAAGACCAGAATTTTTACGAAAGGTTTAAACAGGATGTATAATGTATGTAAAGTAGTCAAAACAAAATTTGTATTCTTCTATTTGTTCTTTAATGGTGATGGTTATTTGTACATGTCAATGTAATTCTTTTGAAATTAATATTATTATTATTATTATTATTATTTATTATACTTATTATTATTATTATTATTATTATTATTATTATCATTATACATTTGGGTTTCTTTCAAAGCTTGGCAGTACCAGTCTATGAAAAAATCTCTAAAGCAATAGACAATCCCTTTGCTTTACTTTACATACAACTAACTTTTCTTTTTAAAATGTTTAGTGAAGGAAGCTTTAAAAATAAGTATGGAAAAAAAATAAAGGGAAGAGTGAAGAGATTTCTTTTTGGAGCTTACAAATATATAACAGACTATGTACAACAATGGAACAAACCCCCTACTGATGTAAATCAAGTGTCTCCTTGCAGCTTTGCGACCAAAGCTAGAGCACTGCTTTTGTGCTATGATTCCTGTTATTACAGAATGTGCAACTCATTTCTCTGTTAATTCATAAATAAATTGTAAAGTGAGAACTTTAAATCTGTTAATAAATAAATCTGCCAAGCTCAAGACAAGAGAGCCTCATACCCAATTGGAACCGTTGGCTAACTTCACCTCATGGTTGATTATTTTGTAGTGCAATAATTTATCATTCTGTAAACTATGAACGTTTACAAATTCAAGGATTACCAAATATTTTGAACTAACCTTGACTTTTCTTCTTTTGCTTGTGCTTTCATTTGCTGAACTTCCATTGAATCAGGTTTCCGCCTTCTCATGAACAAATCATGATTTCCAATACAAAGATCCAGGATCTTGTATACAAATAACAATTATTTAATCAGACATTTTTAAAGGAAGTAAGTAAGATATTTAAAGAAATATTATTACTCACCAATTTGTTCATTCTTACTTTCTGGGAAAAAAAAACAAAATTTGGAGCAGTTCTTTCAACAGGTTTGATAATGAATTTTTTATCGTCAAAGCTTATATGACGTATTTCTGACCAAGGAAATGTTGTCTTTGGTGACAGCTTATTTTCTTTTTCATAGATATTTAGTCCCAGTGCTGTTACTCCAAGCCACAACTCAGTATCTTTTTTATTCTGAAATCATTTATAAACACCTATTAGCTGCCACACATTTTAGCTACGGCTTCTAATAAAAAAGGAAAAACGGCCTCCAGATGCCAACATTTAATTACAAACAAAATTATAATGGTTTGGTTACGAACAACTACGCAGACTGCAGCCAACAAACACATACAACTACTTTAAAAATAAATGAACTGAGCACAAAGAAAGAGAAGTATTGGAAGAATAATGTGATTTAGGAAAGGCAGGAGAACAACAGAAAATATTTACAATAGTCCACAAAACTAAAAGAAGAAATCAACAGAACCTGGAAATGTTTATATTGTGCACACACTCTGAAATGACATGATAGGGGAAACAGAAATATATTCTAAAGAATATTCTTAAGAAAGAAAATTTTCAAGTACACCACTAGTCACCACTAGTATTTTATATTTCTCAGGGTGGCTCATTTAAGACGTTCCCATATCTCCTGAACATAGGTTGTTTTCACTAAAACAAACTAGGCAAGGACACATACAATGATGTTTAATATTGAACTATAAGCTTTTAATGTAGGAGATAGTGGCACAACTTTGAATTTTAAAATGGAACTCTCCAGATATTGTTGAACCATTATAATGAGTGTGAAGAGATGAGTTGATACACATGCACATTACTCTATTATATATATCAATATTTTTGAGAAATTTGGAGTTTTTATGACTATGCCAACATTCTACCAGTTTTATGAGAAAATCCACTTCATGGCCATTATGAAAAGTTGCTTTGGCCCTTCAGGGTGGGAAAGATCTGCGTGTCCTGGCAGATGTGGCAAAATATTAACAGCCGGCGTCATAAAAATTCCAAATTTCTCAAAAGCATTGTTATGTAACTTACATGATATGCTTATATATGAACTCATTTTCTCTCACTTTGTATAGTAGGCTAATGACATTATACGAATTCATTTACAAATTCAAAGTTGGCCAATTAAAATTTTAAAAAAAAGCCATAGTTAAATGTTATCCATCATCTTTTGTGCCTCTCACATGCATCTCTTGTAGTGAAAATAGCTTGTCAATATCTGCAAAGCTGCAGGAGATATTTGAAGGTAACATCACAAGTGAACCACCTTGTGTATTGCATGAAGATATGGAACAAAGAAGTGAAAGACATCTTGAGACATTGCCAGGAAGACGATCTTTTATGCAGTTGACCAAGCACTTTTGATGACACCATAAGATGTACTTATAATAGCAAATTAAGGATTGAACAAAATTGTAAACAAGATGAAACAGAATATTCACATCAGAAACTACAGCAATGGGCTTTTAAGTCAAAGAAAACATAAGGACAAAAATAATCAAAAACAAAACAGTAGAATAAGAGTCAAACTTTACATGCTTATGTAACAAAATCTAAATATAAAGAAGAAAATTACAACAGAATCAACAGATGCACATTATCAACACATGATCATAGAAATAAAAATTACACCTTATAATATCACTACCTAAACAACACCACCTTGGTAGTAGTATTGAAAATAGGCCTGGATACTGAATTAGAAAGACATAATTGATGAGGCCCACAGGAGGAACCTCAAGGTAAACAGAGATTACAATAAGAAGGGACCGCTTTGACAGCTACTGATTGGCCACTGCTAGCAAAATAATGCTGTTATGTAACCTAAATGAATGGGTGTAGAGGTCAGACTTTCCCACCTTCCACTGCTGGTGCCTGGGTTCCAACCTAAGCGGTTTCAAGTACAATTTATGGTGGACAAAGTGGGTTTGTGGCACGTTTCTCACGGTACTCCCATTTTCCAGGCAATATGCATTCCATTGGATCACTCCATCATGCATTCCCTACCCTACCCTATCATTAACCACCATTCCGCTAAGAATCTATGGATCATAGTGGCGCCTAGGTGAAAACCTAAGGACTAGCTGAGAAGGGCTGCAGTCTCGGTGGGTTATCAACATATAGGGTCCCAGCCTGGAGAACTAGCCTAGAGAGGGGGGAAATGGTGAGGGACTGGGGGACATCCCCTCTCATAACCCTATCAATTATAGAGAGTGAATGTAATGCCAGGCAGGGCACGGGGCACAGCTTGAAGTTCATCATGAGGCGGGGGGGAAAGTTTAGTTTTTTGTGACCTAAATGAATTGCTTATTTTTATTGGTTTAGAAACAGGGTTATATAAGCCACCTACACATGAAAAAATTGTTCTTCTCGAATTTTTAATCTTTTATTCTATCAACTACTGCAAAATATCAAGTAACTAATATTTCTTACATTCTCAAAACCTGCAGCATAAAAGTAGGCCCTTTGTCACCTTGACCTATCTACATTACGAGCTCGAATGTTACGTCACTGGAACCAGGTACACTTTAGTACCAATTAAGAGCATTGAGTCCCAAAGTGGGGGGTGCGCCCCCAAGGGAGGCGCAGAGACAAGTCTTGGTGGGGAGGGGGGAACCATCAAGCCATGGGGATCAGAGGCACACTTGGTAGATTTGAATTTTGTCAGAGTGGCCATGTTGTATTTATGACAAAAGATATCATTCACGATGAGTTCAGCAAAAAAAATTGGGCTTATTGGCATGCTTAAGGATAGCGTTGAACATTCTGTGTTATTTGCTATGTAGTATTGAGCAATTTGTGCGAGAAAGCGTTTTCTGCACTTGTAGCAATTAAAACAAAATATCACGGCAAACTTGACATAGCTAATGATTTACATGATGCACTTTTTGTTACTCAACCAAGGATAGAGAATCTGGTAAAAAATGGAAGCTTATCCTTCTCAATGATTTTTCTTGTCCCCTGTTTATTTTAAATTTCAACTTGTGATATTAATTAGGCATAAATCATATTGAATTTTCCTCGCCTAAACACAAAAATGAACATTTCAACAAGAGTTTCAAAAAACCATAATTATCTTGAAAATTTGTACAGAGTAACAAAATAAAAGTATTGTTACTCTAGGTAACACTTGTTTTGTTCATTACTAAATAAAACTGTGCAAGGGAGGCATGGGGAGTTTTACTATTGATAAATGGGGAAAGAGGTAAAAAAACGGTTGGGAATCCTTAATTAAGAGACTACAGGAACAAATGAATAGGCAACTGAACTTATCGCTAAGAAGATTATGATAATGATGATAACTTACAGTAATAGGGAAGTAGTTCACCCCATACATGTCAAGGTCTTGGGCAATTTTAAGGTACTCCATTTCCGCTTCATCTCTTGACATTCCTCGATGGTCTGCATACCAAATTTTGATTCGGTCTTCCCACATTTCTGGAGTCATTTGGTACTGATCTATGACACGTTGCGGTAGGAGGTCATCAACCAACATTCCTGGTTTGTGTGAAGCCTCGTCATAATCTCCATACTAAATAAATGAAAACAGACTTCAGAATTTGAAATATGAAGGACAACAGGCACAAATAAAATACCAAATCCAAAAGTTATGCAAAATGTATGGCTTTGCTTTATAATATATATAAAGCCTAAACAATTTACTCTGGAATGTAAATACCAGATACTACACAATACAAACATGGGAACACATGATGGGGCTTTTGCACTGTCCTTAATTGTTAGATGTTCTTGAATTATATATCAGGTTATTTAGGACCACTCCTTTCCAGAACACAGAAATAATATCCTCTCTTATTTCTATTTGTCAGGGTATTTTTTAACTTCACCCTAATAACATTTGTCAAAGTATTTCACACATTTAAAGAAAATATTAAATAAACGGGCTGAAATGTAGTATACGGTAAACCTAAGGATGTCGTTTAAACCGGCACTTCGTACCGTTCCGGCATTAACTAGGCAATTAGAATTCTGGAGGCTTTCTTGAAAAGTGCTTTCTTATAAAAGTGAATAGGTAATTATGTGTTGGATAGACTCAATGATGTTTATAGTGAACACGAGGGCTGAAGTCCCGAGCCTTGCCGTGACTTGGATCTGGGAGAGCAAAGCAAGAAAACTTGCCTTTGAAGGTAAATTGGCATTACAATGCGGCGGGGACAAAGCACACAAAGGGCAAACTATGAAAATCTCATATTCGTAAGTTTGACTCATTTGTATTAGAGCATGTACGGTGATTAGGGCTTAAGCCCTGCCGCCACGCTTCTCTAAGGTGTACCATATACTAAACGTTAACCAATAAATGCAAAACTCAGTTCCTTTTATTTGTCATTTCTCTAGCTTTGCTCTGAAATAAACCAAGACACAACAAATGCTTAACAAATAAATTTGAATCAAAAATTAACAATGTGTTTCAGGAACAATATTTAGTTTTATAATGAGTCTCCCCCATTTCCTCTAATGCAATTTGTAACTTTAACATGTATATTAAGCAATAATGATAAGTCGTTAATATTGTATTTATATTTTTTCTGAATTTTTCTTCCCTTAATAAATAAAAACATACTTCAAGAAAAATTTTAGAGTAAGATTATTATAATTTTTTTTTTATTAAACTAGATTCTTAAGAACTTGACAACAGCATACTTGCATTTGATTGTTCACAAAAAAGTTTAGAAAAAAATTTCAATAGCACATAGACTCACAAAATAACTTTTTAGTTTGAGCAGGAGAAAATTTCACATTACGGATATTACCTTTGCTTGAACAGCATAGCTAGCCAGAAGAACAGAAGCTTCAGGTGGACAATATATATCCATATTAAGTATGGCTCGATTCACTTGCAGAAAGAACAAGTGTTGGGTTACTTCTTGAACTAATTCTTCTGCCACTTCTTCAGGGTAAAATTTACTCAGGAGCATGAAAGATGCAGTGGTCTGAGCAGGGATATCCTGGGCCTGAACTGTACCCCAAGAAACACAACATGAGGAAATAAAAAATTAACAAGCAGTTTTAAACTTCTTTTGTTCATCACTTACCACGTTTGTCAAGCTTAAGCCATGATATAAATCCTTTTGAGTCTTCATATCGCAAACCAAAGTACCATGTCTCCCTCAGTCCAATGGTTCGGCACACCAAATCAAATAAATCTCGACCAGTTGCTCGCCACTACAAAGAAACAATAGAAAATGACACAAATAATTGTATTACCCAATTCAAATACAATAAAATTATTTGTGGCTTTACACAACAACAACTTTAATCTTTTCCATAAACATTAAATGAGTTAACACTGACAATGGATTACAAGTTGAGAGATCACATGCCAATATCTTCAGGTGAAAAGCAAAAATAAAACTAACCTCTAAGTTAAATTCTAATTCAGCATCCAATGTGCATACTTTTACAGGGAATGACTTTCCTGGTTTCTTTCTTCTAAATGGAGGCATTGTACACTACATCATTATTGAAAAATTGTAAACATAAAATTCAATGTTCTCAACATAACTTCTAGGATTTAGATCTTATTAGCCATACAAACACGCACACATTCTCTTGTCTTTTTTTCTTTTTAGACACACTTCGTTCTTTACATCGCTAGACAAGATTGAACTTTCTACACTGCGATGTGCAGATGTGTGCAACACTGCGATTTTTTTGTGTATGTTGTGTGTTTGTGTGTGCGAGCTTTGGTTTGGTTTTATCGTTCTTCTGAATGAACCGATTCAGTTTACGGAGTATGACAGGTGTAAGCATGGTGTAAGAAATCTATCTTTACACCGGGTGTAAGACAGAGAGTATATGAGTGTAAGACACCAATCCCGGTGGGGACACAGTCTAGACTAGGGTATATAAAATTCTCTTACACCGTGCTTCAGACTCGCGCAGAATGGTCACGATCCCCGAGGAAGTTCGTCCGCAACATGATGTCCGAGAATTTCTTACACTGCAGTGCAGAATTTCGTTCAGAATCAGAATTGTTCACAACAAATCATGGTTGCCAATAGAAGCCATGCGAACCAGGCCCATCAGGCATGACTGTCATAATTGCGTTTTGCAACTTAACTGTTTTAGAACTTAGGGCAAAACCTTCAGAAATCATTGTATTGAATGATTGAAGATACTTTGTACCAAAGGTCTTGGACGGAGCTGGAAACAAAGGCATTTGAAAATAATTTGCTTCTTGTTTCGAGTCAACGTCATTTTGTGAATGACTTTAAGATACTTTTTAGATTTAAGTGAAAATGCTATGAATTATTGAAGACGCAGCCATTTCAAATGTATAGACTTGTTTATATTCCCATATACTGTGTTATCACTTTTCGTTGCATTGTCATTTAATGTCAGTAAGCATGTAATTCACTGAAATGGCAGAGAGAGGGGCTCATTTAACACAAACTGCTGTTCCCAAACCATCAATTTTTGAGGTAGTTGCCCAACAAAGTCTGTCTAATACAATACAGCCAGCATTGCAAAAAATAATAGAGGTAAGAATAATAATATTTGAATATAGATACCATAATTTGTGTGGAATTAAAATATATTTTATTAGTTTTTAGGGTCTTTGAATCCAGAAAGATATGGCTGGCTAGAAAAATGGTTTGATGAGCTGTATTTGAGCTTAAATTTTCTCCTGCAGAACCATTATTTATCACACCATGGTAAATTGGCTTCTTTTCTGAAACCTTTAATAAAACTAATATTTTTAGTTACACTATTTTACTTTATGTTTACGTTTGCAGATGGTTCTTTTTCTGAAATATTTTATGGTCTTTGCCGAGTATCTGTGCACTTTGGCAAAGAAGGTGAATTGAAAAGAAGGGGACAATTGCTATCATTGCTTCAGTTGGTATTTTTACCATATGTTTGGCAGAAAATTGAAAAAATTGTACAGAAGTTGCAAGATGATTATGCTTATGGAACATCCTCTCGTAGAACAAGAAAACAGTTGATGAGCTATTTTATATTGAAGTCATACAAATTTGGCAGTATGGCCTGGGAATTTTCAATTTTATATTATTATCTAGCTTATTTAGCTGGCAAATCTAAGTCACATTCCCCACTCTTTAGTCTCTTTGGTTTGGCTTTGCAATATGCAGAGGCAGAAGATGAGATGACAACTACTTGGGAAGCAGTTTCTAACAAAAATAGGTATATATATATATATGTATATGACACATAAAAATGTAACTGGTATAACTTATCAATATATCCTTTGAATATTTGTAACTTAATATTATAAACAATCATTTACATATTTTAGATGGTTTTCACCAAAGAATCTTGGCCAGGGCTTTCTTCGCTTTCTTGAAGTGGGTGCCTTTGGTCTCCAGTTTCTTCAGTGGTGGCAGGCTGAACAACACACTACAAACATGACAGATCTCCCAGTGCCTCCCCCTCCAACCCAGGTACGAATAAGCAAGAGACAATTGTGCTTCAATTGGCATCTTTCCTGATAATTCTCCGAGGTTTTAAAGAACTAGTGATGTGATAAGAATTTTATTTAATATTGCTACATTAGATACCCTTTTTTATTCTTAATTATATTACAGTAATTTTCCAATACAATTAATTAGTTCTGTTCATTGCAGGATAAGGAGGAGCTACACTTGAAAAGATTGTGCCCCATTTGTCGCAAATCTTGGAGGATAGAAACACTATTGCCAGTATCTGGTTTTGTGTTTTGTTTTCGTTGTATTATGCAATATGTTCAGGAACACAGGGCTTGTCCAGTGACAGGATACCCAGCCTCCACTAAAGACTTAGTGAGATTGTATAAGTGAAAATCCATGGAGAAACTTCCGGTGGACTATAATAGGACACCAATGTGCCTTTTACTTTCATTAGAATTAATGCAATGGATTTCTGGTTCATATTATAATTGTCTTGCAACTTTTTATTGTGAGAAAAATGAACGAATGTATGCATTTTTAAATACAGTTAGTGGTAAGTTATTGACTAAGAATTGTGATAT